TTCACCAACTGCATGATTGGTGAGCATTCTAACCCGGAACTACCTAGAACCAAAGTAAATCATTGAGGCAACCAAATGACTAATATTATCAAACTAGAAGATGACCCTTTCAGATACTGACATAAACATAAATTGCTCTATGTCAAACCTTCGTATCTTAATGTCACAAAACTGTGACTAATAACCAGCTATAAGACTGTAAAACCTTTGCTTTCAATCAAACATATTACATTATGGCGTCGGTAGCACAGCGGTTAGGACGCTTGATGACCATGCACATGGGGTCCGATCCTCGGCTAACGCACTCCTCCTCCTTCCCTAAGCCAGGAATAAAGCTTGTAAAGAGGAAAGATTTGGCATGAGGTTAGCAAGCCCATCCTGTAAAAATAACCACCACTGCTGCAGAAACTTTAAGCCTCTAGCTTGAAGCCCTATGTTCCACTTGGAAGTTGAAGGCATTAATGATAATCAATAAAGCATGCATGAATGCATGGAATTATGTACAACTGACTGAATAGTTGGATACCCCTCACATGAACCAGTAATGCTTGCTAGCAGCATCGATGTGATCTGAACATCGGACGGTTGATAACGTAAAAAGATTATTATTTATTATTTTTTCCTTTAATTCCTAGAGGAACATAAGGCTTCAGGCACGTGTCTCCATTGCGTTCGGTTTTCTGCTAGAGTCTTCACCTGGCTCCATGTCTGCCCACATGCTTTCATCTCCTCTTCACATAACCTCCTCCAAGTCACCCTCGCACTGACGACCAACTCGCCGCTTCCCTTTCGGGTTCCACTCGAGCGATGGCTTGCTTAGTGATGTCACTTGATGGTTTCCTCAGAGTATGGCCAATCCATCTCCATTTCTTTCTGCCTATTTGTTTCACAATCGGTTCCTGCTGGGTTGGTTTGCTCATTGCCAGGGATATCTGTTGCTGATCTTTTATGACTGGCCATCTGATCTTGAGTATTGAGCGAAGACAACTGTTAATGAAGGTCTGTAGTTTGTTTGAGATGCTCTTTATGACGCGCAGTGCAAGTCTCTGGTCCGTATAGTGAGTAGCAGTGACTTCACATTGGAGTTGAAAATCCGGATCTTATTTTTGATCCTGAGTGCTGTTGACCTCCACACAGACTTGAGAGTAGTGAAAGCTTGTCTTGCTTTTCCTATTCTTGCTTTGATATCCTCGTCAGTTGAATCCGCCTGTAGTTGAAACGATGCTTTCCAGGTCGGTAGGTAAAAGAGGTGGTTTCTTTCAGGTTCCTTCCATTTACGCTGATTGTTGTCTGTTGTTGTTGCTGTTGAGGGTGCTGTCCAGGAATCTTCATCAAGATGACATTCCTTTATTGATCTTCCTTAGTTTATCAGTTATTACAAGCTTATCATGAATTGGTTGGAGGAATTCATCATGAGCTGACATCAATTAGAGGACCATTGAAAAAACCTGGGAGTACTGGACAGCCAGCTGTTTCCCCCCTAATTTGAGACTCTTCATCAGTTCTGACCCGACGACAGGGTTCGGACCCAGGACCTTCTGGTTACAAGGCAAGCCAGCTCGTAGACCATTCAGCCACTGGGATTCGATTCAATGGCCAGACCATGAATTCTAATTTCTGCCAATTCATGACATACCACGACAAATCTCCACAAAAACAATACTTATCACGAATCCTCTGACTCCTAATTATACGAATCAGTTTCCATCATTGACCAAATGAGTTGCTGGATGTTCAAAGATTCCTGAAACTCTAAGGATGCTTCGCATATCATTCAGTTATGTAACTTCCTAATTGTATTCTATTTTCATCGTATTACTTACTGGCTATATATATGGCGAATAATCTTGTAGTTGTAGATTCGTTTTCACCTCTGACTACTTATTAGTTGCTGCAATCAGCGATACGCCTCAATAGTTTTTGCTTAAAATTCACAGATTTAAATGCACTTCCTGAGACAGTACATCAATCGCTTGGAAATTTTCACTGAAATTATCTTTTTTTCTGTAATCCTTACACCTACTTAAATAACTTTTATTTAATACTAAAATCTGAAATCAGTGGTATCTCATTGTGATAGCTTCATAGGATATTTTAAATAATGCACAGAACTGCAAAACGTTCAATTGTTCAATTGTTAAGGAATTATACCACCACACATGTTTTATTGAAATTCCTTGATTGTACTACATAACCCTTATTTGTCAAAAGTATTATTTGAAATTACTGTTGATAAGTTGACATGTTGGCTTCTAGCATTGGAAACCTCCTGGCCCCTACTGCTAGGCACAATTAACCAGAAAACATCATGTTAACGGTAAGAAATCACTGAAGCATCCGTACTCAAAGTCGACATATCTGTAGAGATTTGAGTCCAAAACAATCTATCAACAAGAAATTTGAACAACAATTTCAACGAATAACAAATAATACTCGCTTCACAATAGGTGACTATCGCGACCCAGTAACTAACTAGATAATGATCTGACATTTGATGAAACTGTGGGTGCAAGATTTGAGTCTGAGTGGTGATACCTTCTCTCATTGTGGATCCAGGTGGACCAGGTGGCAACTGACACACAGGACGAAATGCCCATCCTGCTCTTTGGTGCAATTAAAAATCAATAGATATCCTTCTCATGTTAACTCCAACTGAATATACAAATTTACATGTATCTGTGGAAGCAGTTACATTGGAAGAACAGAAAGAAAGGCATATCTACAATTTTCTGAACATATACCAAAAAGCTTATGTCTAAAGGGAACAAATGCTTTCAACAGTGCTATCACTAGGCATCTTCTTGATACGGATCATGAGGTGGACGTCGGAAAAGCGTTCAAAATTATCAATAGGCAAAAGAGTTCAATTCTCCTCAAGTTTGCTGAAGCCATCTCTATCAAGCGCCTGAAACCTGAATTATGCATTCAGACAGAAACAGTTATCAGTCTTTCTTTGCCCTGGCAACTGGATATTTTCAACTCGCTTTCATCTGAATAAGTAATACCGAAAGTTTCCATTGTGTATGATCATTATTGTTCGGAATAGTGTTTAATATTGCATATATATGTGTATATATTATTAGTGTATGCGCATATTGATCGATTGATTTTTGTTTAAAAGCGAACTCTGTGCAAGTATGTTGAAATTGTTTCTGTAGATATATTTAATAATGTCTTTGTCCTTTAAGCAGCTGACGAGAAGGCAACGAAATAAACCATGATGGTACCATTTTATTCTGCAAAAACTGTTGTTCTCGCTTTATTCAAATTCATTAAGGGGAATAAATGTATGAAAAATAAAATTATATTGATCTTCAGGTACAGTCGAAAGTTTCTCACTAGGAGTTGATGTTTCAACAGTGACCGAACGTTTCAGTTCAATTTAATCCATCAATAGGACACACGAAATTAACCTAAATAAATGATAATTGATGCCTATTGCATGTGACTCACTAACCCAAATCATACTGCTTTGGTGCTTCACATAATGGATGTCGGGGGCTTTGCATTTCAGTGAGGACACCACCACTCACTGAAATATTTAGGTATATCCAGTTGATGAGTTCCATTCTAGGCACTACCAAACAAAACACATCACTTTGTCCTAACTGTGTATCACTGTTTACCCCCCAAGTCATGACTATGTATTGCTGAATTGTTCCCGACTAGAAGTGCTGTCAGTTCTCATTTGTTGTTCATCGCGCTTGTGAAATGGATTATATCGGTCGTTGCTCTAGGAACTTGATTTTTCGTGCTCACTCGAGAACACCTCCTACTGTGGCTAAGTCAAGATGTAGTATAAATCACCATCAACAGTTCGACATTAGACCATCCGATGCAAACCGGCTACAAAGCCAGCCATCATTGAAGAATCCTTCTCTATCATCTACCGGGTACCAAATAAATTGCCAAAAACATCGAAGCACCGTATGCTCCAAACAACAGAGGCTACATTGATTCGCCTCAAACAACCAGTGCTCTGTGTGCAAAAGAAACAAGTCCAGCGAGCCAATACTACTGCCCTGGTCGGACTTCATCGGAGACTATAAATTCATGAATTTGTAATATTATCTTCCCTAATTTTTCTGACATTCAGCTTATTTTTATGTTGATGCTATTGAACTGTAATCTGGTGATATTATTGATTCGATGTTATTTAAACAACATGAATGTTCATTCACTATAATGTGTATATATAACTGTAGAGCCTGATGATGAAGGGGTTATCGAAAAGAGTATTCTTTGGTTACAGGATTTCATCATGAGCTGACATTGGTTAGAGAACCATTGGAAAACCTGGGAGCACTGGACAACTGTTTCGTCCTAGTTTGGGACTCTTATCAGTACGCAACCGCCGGGGTTCGAACCCCAGGACCTTTTGGTTACAAGGCGAGCTAGCTCGTAGACCATTAAGCCACTGGGACCCGATCCAATGGCCAGTGCATGATTTCTAACTTCTGCCGATTCACGATATAGCGTACTCTCTAGCCAATGTCTTCGGCGAGTATTTGTCCTCACACCCGACCTGCTGCATCCTACTACTGTCAGGACTTCCCACTAGAACCCCAGATAACTACCTACCTGAATAAGGCCAGTCGCCAAAGAGCATCTCATTAATATTCAAGTATTGGTTTGTAGAGATTCGGTTGATTGGTTAGGTTGATTGGGTTCGAACCCCGGTGGGTGCTATAGAGTCCCAAACTAGGACGAAGCAGCTGGCTGTCCAGTACTCCCAGGTTTTCCAATGGTTCTCTAACCAATGTCAGTTCATGATGAAATCCTGTAACCAATCAACCAAATCCCTACAAACCAATACTAGAGTATTCAATTTTCAATAGCCATACTTTTGAAAATAAAAAGTTAGTTGTTATAGAATATTCTCATCTCAGAGATAAAGGGATCAAACATTATAACACACTACTGCTTCGTTTTCTCCCTTTAATTTTTTTTAAAGATATTTCTTCACTCTTTCTTTTTCTTTCTTTTTTTTTACATTTAAGATTCAGATATTGGTATGGAACCAACTGGACAGCATAGAGAAGTAAAGGATAAAAAAGATTTGGCACTGTTAGCTGAAATTGAAAATATCTCAGCAAAATTAGATTATCGACATTATGTAAGCTGATTATTATATTCTCTTAATGTTGTTTTTTTATATCTTCATTTCTTCATTAACATGTTATTTGCCTCTAGTTGTGTTGTGTTTAATTAAATGTTAATCATTTTAGCATTTTGATAAGAAAGACATTTACGCTTGATATTTTGTGTGTTCGTGAGTATTTGCTTGTGTGAGTGTGTGTGTCAAAAAGCTGTTCTACCTTCGGCATATTAATCTCACTCTCGAAACACTTTCATATTACACTGATAGATTTACCTGTCAGCACACATATAGGCATATGAATTCAGCCATCTTTTGTGTAGTAGGTACATAAGAATAGAGGCATTTCGATATTAGCACAAGTTTATATCTCCGACATCATGTTTTTGGACAGACAAGATTCAGTCGTCATTATTATTATTATTAATTAGAGACAGATACATTGTTAACAAAGATGCCTTCTTCACCTGGCAACCGATTTATTTTGATTATGAAACGAATAATGTATCATAAATTACCGGACGATAGCGTATTGGTTGGCGGTTTACTGAATTTCTAACTAGTGCCTGAATGGTTAGTGGTCTGGCCTCTTAACCTGATGATCTTGTATTCTATTCACCCTTATTGGAAGTCATAGGTGCATAAAGATGATGAGTGGTGAACTTGAATGAAACATGCGTCAATTGCCTTCTGTCACTGAGCTCAGTAATTTCAACATATCCTTAAGGATGTACGCACCCACCGGTTACAAGGTATGCTGGCTCGTATACCATTTAGCCACTGAGACCCGACTCAATGGCCATTCCATGAATTCTAACTTCTACCGATTTTTGATTTTTGAGTCACAACCACCCAATCTTATCGGTGGGAAATCTATCCCTACTCCCAACTGGATGCACCTCACTGGTCACGACTTCGCACTGGAATCCCAGGAAACACCGTCCTGTAGCAAGTCACTAGCAAACATCAGATTAATTTTCAAGGGTTGATTTGTAAAGATGTGATTTGTTTTTACGAGTTTGACTACGGAGTGAAATCATCGTGCTGTCGATGATTCCCAAACTAGGGTGAAATAGCTCTCTGGCAGTAGTCCCTGGTTTTCAATGGTTCTCTAACTGATATCAGTCACTGAAATCTACTGCTAATATGTGTTATTTAGTGCTAGTCTTACTGGTCACATTTTTTTCAAGTAGAATAAGTCAACCTGCAAAAATTGGAATCTCATCATACATCAAAACCCGACTAAATGAATGACAAGACTAACAACCAACCAGGGAGGCTTACTTGAAACACTGGGCTTCTTAAATTTCCTTACAGCACAGTGTATCATATTTTTCCCTATTTCTCATTGTTTTAACGATTCATTTATGTCTATGGGTTGGAAAATGCACTCACGTACATGTTTAGTTAACTTTCATCCTATCGGTGCTCATATCTTGGAGACGAAAGAAAACGAAACAGCATTGCACCACATGAGATACTATAGGTTATTATTTTACCTGGGGATCGTGGATGAAGAGAATATATTATGCAATAAACCACTCTGAAAATTCTGTATGTTATGCAAACTATTTGTGCGGAATAAAGCTATTGTAACGACAGATGACAAGGGTCAGGCAACAGATCGTTTATTGAGAAAATCAACAGATATATAGATTTTTATGTACATTATTATTCGTTATTATTAGCAAAGAAACAGCGTCTTCTGATTGGTTGTTTTCACACCTAAAGTTATTCTATCATCTCTTCGTGGTCGTTTCTTTAAAGGTCAGACCATATACCTGCTAATCGTATCCGCCCACGCAAAGCCTGCTGTGATTGGTTGTTGAGTTGGTCTTTGTTCTTGTTCTTTTCTCATGACCAAGATTTGGGACGTAAATATTGATGTAAATTACTACCCACCAATTTTGGTTAGCAGACAGCTCTCACCACACTATTATTAGTATTATTATTAAATCATGATACTCTCAGACTCATTGACAAAATGTTCAACAACAGCACTACTGACGTAATCACTCCTTGCTGACTAAGTGAATATGTCATTTTACTGGACTATGTTTGGATTAAACATTATGAAAGAGCGTAGTACATATGAACCTGTTGATAGATAATATGAGCTTTCTGATTCTTTTCAATCACAAAAATTATTCTGTGGTGATTTAAATGACCACTGATTGGTCAAAGCTATTTGACTTTCTTTGGAGTTTATAGATCATGGGTCTTTGTAGGCATCTGAACTAAGTTCAGTGCGCTTTTCATCAAGAGTCAACATCAATTATAAATCATTATAAATCAGAGGATACTGAGTACTTGTCTTTCCTACTAGTTTGAGAGTCTCCAAACGACGCCACCAGGCCTTCAACCTGCGACTTCCAGGTAACGAGGCCAGTCAGTGGCTAGAAATTCAACGATCCCTAGATTTTAACTCCAATTAAATCGACATATAGCATTACCTTCAAGCAATGCCTCTGGTGAGTATCCACTTCACCTCGAAATGGTGAACCCCAGTTGCCATGTCCTGAGCACAGGTTTCGTATTACCATTCAGCAGGTATCAATAACCTGAATATAACGCTTTCGTTACTTTGACTGAAAGTTTGGTTGTTGAAGGTAATGTTAATGCACCTAGGCTTAGTAATAATAATTTCTTTTATACCTAAACAGTACTAATGGTACAGTGTGGAAGTTTCAGCGTTTGCTACAATATTGCATCTAATTTTATCGAATAACATTAAAAACAATTATAAAGATAATTGATAGATTGTAACTAGCAGTGGAATCCAGGATGCGCATTTCGTCCTATCCGGGACTCGTCATCTGGATGTGCCTGCATTCCGAAGTGAGTGATGATGTCCACACCAAGGCTCGAACTCAGTGCCCATAGTTTCAAAAGCCAAGGCGTTATCCAGTAGATCACCTGGGCCACGGGAGCCACCTCTTGTGCAACGGGTCATATTAATGATTTAATTCAATTTTAGACTTTTCCGTCGATTGATTGGGCCGAAGTGCTCGGTTTGGAGCTATGGGCACTAGGTTTGACCCTTGGTGTGGACACCATCAGTCACTTCGGAATGCAGGTACATCCAGCTGACGAGTCTCAAATACGAAAGGCGAAATGGACATTCTGAATTCCACTGCTAATCACCATCCACCAATTAACTTCTAATTACATGCCTAGACATCGTCGATGCCTGTGCACAAGAAGCCAACATGTCAACCTGACACCGAGCACTTCGGTCCAATCAGTCGACGGGAAAATCTAAAATTGAATTAAATTATGAAGATAATATTACAAGATTTAGCTAACAAAATTATAATTCATAAGTTTCACGTTTTACAGTGTCTCTATCGCATAGAACATGGACTGCCCAAATATGGTATCGTTGAGTTCCTATACTTGGTAGGACGAGTAAGTATATAATCTACCAAATGTGATGCAAGGGGACAGTTGAGAATAGAGTTGGTGTTGAGGTTCAGACAATATTGTAGATTTAGACCATTTCTCGCATGAGTTGTTCAGGTGTCTGTCAATTAATGTAGTGACAGGCTGACTAAGTAGCACATCACTTTTCCCTGCTAACAACCTTTAATATCCTTCTCACACATGACATAATCATTGATCAATAACCCAGGAAAAACTAAGTGTGGGGACCAGTAAAGTGCATTAGGTAAGATACACAAATTATCAAAAGAATACTCTTTTCGATAACCCCTTCATCATCAGGCTCTACAGTTATATATACACATTATAGTGAATGAATGAATTAGTGTTATGAATAACATTAATGTTTGTTTAAATAACATCGAATCAATAATATCACCAGATTACAGTTCAATAGCATCAACATAAAAATAAGCTGAATGTCAGAAAAATTAGGGAAGATAATATTACAAATTCATGAATTTATAGTCTCTAGTGAAGTCCGGCCAGGGCAGTAGTATTGGCTCGCTGAACTTGTTTCTTTTGCACACAGAGCACTGGTTGTTTGAGGCGAATCAATGTAGCCTCTGTTGTTTGGAGCATGCGGTGCTTCGATGTTTTTGGCAATTTATTTGGTACCCGGTAGATGATAGAGAAGGATTCTTCAATGCTGGTTGGCTTTGTGGCCGGTTTGCATCGGATGGTCTAATATCGAACTGTTGATGGTTTTCACTACACCTTTACTTAGCCATAGTGTGAGATGTTCTCGAGCACGAAAAATCAAGTTCCTAGGGCAACGGCCAATATAACTCGCTCCACAAGCGCAGTTGAATTGGCAGATACAATTTGAAGTGGCCAGCTAGTCTAGGTACTTCATCTTTCAGTCGAGGAATCACCATCGGTCGTGTGGAGAATAAGACGTGTAGCTCGCCAGAATTAAAAGTTGTTTGAACTGACTTTCTTAATTTCTTCGTAATTATTTCACTTGGCATATCGCTCTTGAATTTCAGTCGTATGTGCAAAGAGGCTTCTTGTTTATGGATAGTGAGTAGTCCTTTTCTGCTTTCTTTGTCATATGTTTCTTGATAAATTTGTTGGAATAGCTATTTTTGATCAAAGTATCACGTACAATGCTTAATTCATCTTCAGTTACTTCTTCTGATTATATAGCTCTAACTCTGTGTGGCTGATGGTCTTCACTAAATTTCTTTTGTACTTGAGAGGAATGAAGCTGTGAAATTGACACAAATTAACACTTTGTAAAAACAAAGCTTGAGTGAATCCAGGCAGTTTTAGCTTCTTAATGTAGTAACAAGCCTATTATACATTCCTCAATTAAAGCGTTTCTATCACCTTGTAGGAAAAAACATTCTCAAAAGACTCGCTAAACACTTAGCCTAAAGAGAATTGAACACAACAATCTATGTTATATCTTCTCAAAGACTTTTGAATACACTGTAATTATATTTCAATAGTTTACACACAATGATAAGTTTTGTTATTGGTAATATTTCAAGCAAAATTACTGCCCGTGTTCACATCACTGTTGGAGTTGTTTTATTCACACATTTATGATTTTAAACCGACAAATCTAATCA